GATCCACAGGTAAATGGCAAGATTTCCCATTAAGAAGATTTAATGGTGATGTTCCTATGGTAGTCTTGAAAGCTGTTCTATAAGTCTAAAGAGCATCATAAAGCTTCTTATACCAATCCTTTCTAGTGCTATTCACTGTCCACTCCAAAATTGCTTTTATCTGCCTGTTAGATACTTGCACTTTCCCACTTGTCTGAGGGTGATAAAGACTTGCAACCTTATGCCTAACTCCAGATTTCCTTAGAAGACCCTCAAAGGTTTTGTTGATGAAATGACTTCCACCATCACTAATAACACATCTTGGGACTCCAAACCTTGGAAAATGGTACTCTTGAATAACTTAATCACCACTTTGGAGTCACAGCTTCCACCCATTTAGACACATAGTCAATAGCCACCAAGATGTATTGGTTTCCATAAGATGAAAAAATGGTCTCATGAAGTCAATACATCAAATATTTCCACCTCCAAGATTTGGTTTGTGGTATCTTATTCCTGATTGAGATGTTCCCTATCCTTTGGAATTCATTGCACCTAGAGACAAGGCCTTGCGAATCCTTAAACATGGTTGGCCACTAAAACCAAGCCTGGAGAACCTTGGCAACAGTCTTGAAAGCAGCATGATGACAACCATATGCAGACCCATGGCATTCAAACAATATTTCTTGAACTTCTTCCTCTGATATGCATCTTCTAGAAGCTGATCCTTGCAGAGAACATAAAGGTAAGGCTCATCCCAGAAGAACCTCCTGATGTCCTTGTAGAACATTTTTTTCTGGTAGTTCCCTATCTCTGGAGGTTCAACTCCACAAAACAAATAATTTACAATGTCTGCATACCAAGGCAAATCACTATCCTTGATCATTTTGAGCACTTCAAGTTCATTCAAAGCTTTGACCATCATGAGCTGCTCCTCAGGTAAAGAGTCATCAATGGGATTCTGCTCTTCAATCCTCAGCCTTGAGAGATAATCTGCCACTCCATTCTTAAATCATTTCTTGTCCTTGATCTCTATATCAAACTCTTGTAGCAATAGAACCCACCTGAGAAATCTAGACTTTGCATCCTTCTTGGCCATTAATACCTTATTGCAGCATGATCAGTGTAGAGAATGACTTTGGAACCCACCAGATATGATCTAAACTTCACAAAAGCAAACATTATGGCAAACATCTCCTTCTCTGTTGTGGAATATTTCTCTTGAGCTCCATCTAGTGTCTTATTTGCATAATAGATCACATGGAGAATCTTCTCCTTTTTCTGTTCAAGGACAGCTCCAACAACAAAGTCACTTGCATCTACCATTATTTTAAAGGGAAGACTCCAATCTAGTGCTTGTACAATGGGAGCACTGATCAAAGCCTTGTTGATCTCTTTGAATGCCTCCTCACACTCTTGATCAAACACAAACTCCACTTTTTTGCACAGCAGCTTTGTAAGTGGTCTAGCAATCTTGGAGAAGACTTTTATTAACCTTCTACAGAATCCAGCATGCCCAAGAAAGCTTCTCACTCCTTTCACTGAATTAGGAGCTCCAAAATTCACCATAACCTAATCTTTGCTTTATTAACTTCAATTCCCTTCTCAGAGATCTTGTGCCCTAGAACAATTCCCTCAGTGACCATGAAGTGGCATTTCTCACAGTTTAGAACAAGATTTGCCTCTTCACATGTCTGGAGCACCCTGCAAAGATTAGAAAAACAAGCAGAAAAAGAAGGTACATAGACACTAAAATCGTCCATGAACACTTCCACCATCTCTCAATAAGGTCAGAAAAGATAGACATTATACACCTTTGAAATATTGTAGGAGCATTGCATAAACCAAAGAGCATCCTTCTATATGCATATGTGCCATTTGGGCATGTGAATGTATTCTTTTCTTGATCATTTGGGTGAATTGGTATTTGGAAAAAGCCATAATAACCATCAAGAAAACAGTAAAATGGATGGTTTGCTAATCTCTCCAACATTTGATCAATAAAAGGCAGTGGAAAGTGATTTTTCCTAGATGCAGCATTGAGTTTTCTGTAATCTATACACATCCTATGACTAGTTACAGTTCTATTTGGGACTAATTCATTCTTTTCATTTCTAATCACTGTAATCCCACCCTTCTTAGACAACATGCACAAGTGAAACCCACTTGGAAACAGAAACAAGATAATTATCCCTGCCTCCAGAGTTTCAGAATCTCCTTCTTTACAACATCTTTCAGGTTTGGATTCAATCTCCTCTGATGTTCTACAGAGCTAATTTATTCATTTTCAAGGTGGATCCTGTGAGTGCACAAAGAAGGAGATATGCCCTTTATGTCATCTAATGAGTAGCCAATTGCTTTCCTAAACTTTCTTAGTTCATTTAGCAATGTATGTTCTTCATGTTTAAGCAAGTTCTCAATAATGATGACTGGATATGATGCATTAGGGCTTAAGAAAGCATACCTGAGACAACTTGGAAGTGGATTAAGCTCCACTTATGGTGCCTTGAGTTCACTCTAATCATCATTGAAGCTTGTTTGACAGCATTGGCTCCTTTGGTGTGGTTTCTTTGCCCTTGTTCCTTGTGCATTTCCCTTTGAATCTCAATTTTTTCCTTGACCGCTGAGTTTACACCGAGCTGAGCACTGGTTGATCTTGCTCAGTGTGAACTCCTTCTTTATTCATCTCACAAGAGACCCCAATCGTCTTGCTTGGTATTCTCACAACATATTTTACATCGAGCAAGGCACCGGCTGAATCTAGTCCAGAGCCAAAGTAGTCCATATTCCTTTGAGCTTCATTTGAGTACACCAAGCAAGATTCAAGGGATGTCTTGCTCGGTATCTCTGCGGCACAATCTGCACCGATCAACACTGTTGATGAATTCTGCTCGGAGCCAAGGGTCATAACACTTTCACTCCTTGAAGGTTGGCACTTTGTACAGGTTTTAAAGGATGTGTTGCTTGGAGTACGCCCGGTTTCTTGATGTGCAACCACTCCTGAGAACACACCAGTTGAATTCAACTCATGTGATCAACTTCTCCTTGTCCCTTAGTGATTTTTGAACCCCCATAATCATCTCCAAGAAAGATTCATCATCTCTACAGGCTTGTGAGAATCAAGCAGCTTCATAAACCAAAAGCTTTCATCTGGAAGATAACGATATTCTCCATAATCTTTTGTTAAAGCAATTTCAAGATGATCTTCAGTGTTCAGTTTCTCAAGTACTTTCTCAGCCAATTCTTCCATGGTTTCTATAAAATACTTGACCCTCTATAGTTAGCTGCTTCATTACCTTGTTGACGTCAAACTTTAGAGCCTCTGATCCCACATGGAGATCAATCATTCCTCTCCTAACATCAATAATTGCTCCAGCAGTAGCTAAGAATGGTCTTCCCAGAATTAGTGTATTCTTTGGGCTCCTCATCCATTTCAGGTATAATGAAGTCTGTTGGCACCACAAAATCCCAAATTCTCAATGGAAAATCCTCAAGAAGTCCCACTGGTAGTCTTACTGATCTATCTGCTAATACCAAATATATTTTGCAAGGTTTGTAGATAGTAAAACCCAGCTTCTTAGCTAATGGAGATTGGCATGAGACTTACTGAAGCTCCTAGATCACATAAGCAACTGTTAAACTTCAAAGGACTCAAAGTACAAGGCAATGTAAAGCTCTCTGGATTATTTAACTTTCTTGGAACTGATCTTGTTATAATAATGGCACTGCATTCATGAGTCAACACCACCATACCCTGAAGCTCCTTTGATTTTTCCACTATAGCATCCTTGAGGAAATTTGTATATTGAGGAACTAAAAGGAAAGCTTCTATCAATGGCATGGTTATCTCAACTTTCTCCATCTGCTTATCAAATAAAGCCCTATACTTCTCCAGCAACTGCTTCTTGAATCTTTTAGGGAAAGGCTTGGCTGATAATGTGGTGGCACGAAGGGATTAGTCGTCTTTGATGGCTTCTTAGGCGCCTTGTCTTGTTCCAGACCTTTACCTTTGTCCTTTTTACTCACTTCTAGCTCAACAACCTCATCATCTTGATCATTCTGAACAAGCACCTCCCCACCAAGTTGCTAATTATCCTCAAAGAGCAATGGAGGTTGTTCTCTTGTAGGAAGTTCCCTGCCCTCCTCAGTGTTATAGCATTACAAAACTCTTTAGGGTTTTGTTCTGGCTTTCCTGGCAAAGAACCCTGCGGCCTTGAAGAAGTTAATGCTCCCTTGCTCTCAAAAGCCTTCATCTTACTATGTAATGTCTCAATTCTGGAGTTGAGATCATTAAAAGAGTACTCCACTCTATGTTGTGTCTCTTGCTGACCCTTGAGAAGCTGTTGTAGAACCTCATTCAAATCAAAATCTTGTTGTTGAGATAAACCCTACTGACCCTGATTCTGATTAAAACTTGGAGGGTATGTCTTCTTTGCTTGAAAACCCTCTTGATTCCCTTGAATAGGCTGGAATATTCCTTGCTGAGCATATGACTGCTTTCCTTGGTAGTTACCCTGAAACTGATTCATGTTTGTATACCCCTGATTCTGAGCTTGCTGTGGTGGATATACTTGATCTTGAGGATTTGCAACATTGTGCTTCTATAGGAGAGGTTTGGATTGTTTTAATTCTTGAACCTCTGAAACCTGTTCTAACCCCCAATGTAGTTCATCTCCTTTTGAACAAGACACTCTTCTTGACCATCAACAAACTGATGTTGCTCATCAAACTCACCAACAAAGTGTATTGGCTTTTGAGAAGCAACCAATACCTTGTCAAGCTTAGTTTGGAGCTCTTTGATGTCCTTCTTCATTCTCTGCTCCTCATGAGAACCTTATCCTCTGTAGGACCTGTCATAGTATTCTCCATATGTGTCATTACTTTGAGTAATATTCTCCACCAACTTCATTGCTGCATTGACCTCCTTTGCAAGAAAGTTTCCATTAGATGCTGTATCTAACTGGTTTCTGATATTAGGCAAAGCTCCTCTATAAAAAGTTCTGAGTAAGTAAGAGTCAGATAATTCATGGTGAGGACATTGATTTGTATATTCTCTGAATCTCTCTTAAGCTTCATTGAAAGATTCATTTTGCTTATGGGTGAAGGAGGAGATCTCATTCCTCAATTTTATTGTTCTTGAGGTAGAACAGAACTTTGCTAAGAATGTCTGATCCCAGGTTTGAATAGATCCATGAGGTAAGTTCTTCTCCCATTGCCTAGCTTTTTCTCCTAGGGAGAATGGAAGTCGTCTAAGCTTGAATCCATCTTCTGAGACCCCATTGATCTTAGTTAATTTAAAAACCCTGTCAAACTGACCAATGTGATCAAGAGGATCCTTCATTGGCAGCCCTTGGAACGTGCTATTCTGAGAAGACTAGCCTTGACTTCAAAATTGTCGTTTTCATTAGAGCTTGGATTCCTTGCCTGTTTGTGTGAGCATTAAAAGCATCATTGGCTCCTACAAGAACAGGATTCCATGGAGCCTTATGTGCTTGACGTGCAGCTTGGGGTGGGTTGGGAGGGTTGTGAACTGGTGCAGCCTGTTGCTGCTTGTTCCATTAATTATGATTAACTTGAGTCTGATGCTCAACTCTCTCTTGCTATTCATCCATGCCTAACCTCTGTAATTGCTCCGCCCTTTCTCTGAAAATTCTTGATCTCAAGAAGATCCAAAGAATTAATGCTAAAACAATCACACTTGGCAACAGCGCCAACTTGATACTATAATTTTGCAATCTTAGCAGGTTCAATTACCTCACACCATTGTAGCATTGAGGGTCTATCCAAGAGACAGATTTAGACACTAATCTATATGGAGCTAGCTTAATCCAAATCTAGCAATATGAGTTTGGTAACAAGTGAATTAATGCAATAATTACTAAGCAATACTAACAAGATTAAGCACCAAACAAGCAATGCAAGACTAATTAAACAAAAACAACTGATGATGATTCAAATATGATAAAAACTTTGGGTTCTTGACATGATAGTGGATTAGGGTGCCTTTGATGCTAGACTAAGGTGCTAATGGCAAACAATGAATGATTCCAATTAACTTTGGATTCCGAACAAGTTCAGTACTCTCTCAAGATAAAGATCACAATTCAAATCATTACTCAAACCCAATTCTCATTAGTGGCATAGTGATAAGAATGCATTAAGATTCAATCCCTAAAATGTCACATGTTCTTCAAACAAGCATTTTTATCTGATCAAAGCAATAAACCTTTATCTTGGCTCATTCAGGCATTTCATCAAACACCTTTTGGGTGGAGAAATGGCTTGAATCTGGATCAGAGTGATGATCAAATATTCAGCTTTAAGAGCAGCCAAGTAAAGAAAGGAAAACATAAATCTAACTCTAAACACCTTAATCTAACACCTAAGCACCCTAATCTACATATCTAGAACCCTAATAAAAAGGACAACTCACTAATCATAATCAACACACTGATTCCTTTGCAAAAAGTGATGTTAATCATGACTAAAAGTTTAGATGAGAAGAAAAAATGATATGATGATAAGAAATACGCTTAAATCTGATTAAAACTCAAGATATCTCTTAGCAAATATGATGTTTTTAACAAAAGAGGCAAAAGACTAAAACTAGATAAAAGGTATCTAGGATTTTTGACCCAAAAACATATATATAGAGGAGTGGTTCGAACCTGGTCAGCCCAAGACAACTGGGTCCTGACTAAGCGAACTTTCAATAAAAAACTCGGTGCACTTTTCAGCGATCTGGATCCTTCAGGTGTGCAGCTCGGTGTAGGTGTCCTGAAGTTGAAGCTCAACTCAGTCTAGAAGTGCTCGATGTCTTCGTCGGAATCCTTGCACAACAAATTGCCCCGGTTGGCACATCTCCTGAATCTTGCTCGGTGTGGTGCTTGATTTGAAAGATGGCTGGAGATGAAGAGTTTACACTGAGCTAAAAGGAGTCGGTGTGTTGCTCGGTATCCTTACGGCAGAAGTTGCTGATAACACCGTATTTTGACCACTTTTATGGATCGTTTTGAAATAATTTTTCTACATTTTTAATTGCTTTTAAGTAGTTTTACTACATTTTTCTTGTATTTGTAGTTCCAAGACTCTTTTCGGGTAACTTAGGGAAAAACTTAACAAAATGGATAGAAAACCAGATTTCAGCTCAAAGTCAAACCGTCAGAAGTTCACCCCTGATTGAAGGATTTCTCACCGTCTGATCCAGCTCAAATTTGGAGATCTTAAAGATGGAAGTATCAGCTTTCCAGTACACTTTACAGCTTGGCAATCCATCGGTTCAATCAAAAGATACGCGAAGAGCAAGATGTCCCGTAAACCAGCCGGCAAGCAATTCCACCCGCGGCCAACAGGCCATTTCCCGCGGTCAGAAGCATCCCGACCGCGGCCAGCAGTCCATACCCCGCGGTCACATCCCTCCCGACCGCGGCCAGCCATCTCTGAGCCCGAAGGCCCATTTCTGAAGCCCACAATGATTCCTTCATTTGGAGAAACCCTAAGTGACGTCCAGAGATGTCTTGAGCACTATAAATACATGTCTTAGGAACCCTATTTCGACATATGCTATTTTTCTTATTGTTTTAGAATACTTTTAAGTTTTAGGTTTTAGGGAGAGAGAGATTTGTCTCTTGAACCCTTGTTCTTTCTTTTTCAATTTCGGTTTCTATTCTACTTATTAATACTATCTTTTTGATTTCGTTCATTATGTTTGAGTAGTTTTATTGTTGGGATTAAGGGATTTTCGATGGAGATTTATATGTTCGATGAGGATTCCATGAGCTTTTGAGCCGAATCTTAGAACTTTTTCTTCTGAATTCGATTTTACTGCATGAGAGTAGCGTCATGAACTACAATCAGATCCAGATGCTTGGTGACACGAAGGTGTTCATCCGGTGTCAGATCTAGTTTGGGAGAGCAAAACAAACATAGGAGTGGAAACCTACCTATGGGCGATTTGTGAATGCTGACGAGTCTTAAACATAATGCATCTCTTCTCTTCCAGGGCCAGAGTGGAAACCAACTGGTCAGGGTTGAGAGAGATAGTTGTCTATGATCACGACAGTGGCGTATTCATACGTCTGTGACTCCAGTTCGAAAAGTTTAAGCTAAGATCTTATCAATTTTACTCTCTAGCAATGTTTTGAATCGTTCGTACCCCTGAGAAAACTTCCCTGAACCCCAACGCCTTCTTTCCTATTGATTTACACCGTTTTTCTTTCAAGCTTTAGTTCAATATTCTCATTCCTTTTTAGTTAATTTTCATTTAAGCAATTAGAATATTTGTTTTTCTCGTTTTTATTCATTTTCGTTAAGTTTAGTTATTAGGCCATTTAATTCCCGTATTTTCTTTTAAGATTTCGTTTTTACATTTTAAACACACTACCAAAACCCCTACAAAACCGTTTGGTTCTAGACTTCCTTACTTTATATTTCTTTCAAAGGCTTTTGCAGGAAAAGATCCTCCTTCCCTGTGGATTCGATCCCTAAGTACTACAATCAATCAGCTGTGCACTTGCGGCTATTGATTTCATTTAGGGTAAAACTTGACAACCCTCACACACCACCACATCAAGTTTTTGGCGCCGTTTCCGGGGAAGGCACGCGTTTTCTCTTCTGCAAAACCCCGAGAAAAGTTGGTAAATCGACTCTAGAACCCCCTTTTCTGCAATTTTCCATTTTTTATTTTGTTTCCATTTCAGAAGATATGGATCCTATGAAACGAAATTACTACTATGAGGGAGGTTTTTACAACACTCCTCGAGCCACTCAACGCCGAGAAGCACAATACATTCGTGATCTCTCCTCAATGGATCAGAATTCAATTCCGAATCACCACAAAAGAGGACTTCGCAGCCATTACAAATCAATTCGCGAAGGTTTAGAGGAACAAGGATTCTGCTGGGAGACCGTGTCAACTTACGATGCCCACGGAGATATCAATGATCCTCTCTTTGATGAAGATATGTCGTCTGTCTCCCAAACCGAGATTGATGATATGCTTCAGGAGCTCAATGAATCTATGGATGATGGGTATTGGGTATCTTGTGAAGTAGATGGAGAATCCTCCATCAAGTTTGTTAGAAAGAGGCCATCAAATGAAATTCCTTTGGATCATCACGTCATGGAGAACCTCTTTCCATCCCTAGTGACGATCTCGTCTCTACCGATTCATTCAAGTGTTTTGGAGTCGATAAACAAGATCATAAGTCCCTTCCTCTTGATGAACCAAAGCCTTTTTCTCCTTCAGATCCTCACCACCTTGAATGTAAGACAGACCACATGGAAGATAAGACACTAATGGTGACATCAAAACCACCATTGGAGGCGCTTTCTAAGACGAAGGATTCCGAGAAGTTTGATGCCCCATTCTCAATCAAGGAAGTGAAATTTCGTGATTCTCTTTGTGAATCTTGACCTGATGTGAATCTCATACCAAAGACCATTGCAGAGAATACAGGTATTTCGATTTTTCATCCCTCTAAGATTTATATTCACTATGGAGATTTTTCTGGTGCAGCTCTACTTGGTTCCAAACCAGAATTGCCTTTTCAAGGGAAAGGTTGTCTTGTTTCTACTGGTTCCCATGCTATGGAGATGAGAAACAATGCAACAAAACCCTTGATACTTGGTATTTCGTTCCGAGCATCTGTTGGAACACTCATCAACTACCTGCATCAACATATGAGTTTCCTGAAGATCAATAAGAAAACCTCATACCCGGTGATTAGTACAAGGAACTCTCATTGTCTGACAATAGGGGGCGTAGATGATCCAATATTTAACCCTGGAGGAACTACAAAGGATGTTGGATACGTTCAAGAAAGAATAGCACCCAAAGAAAATGCTGGATTTACAAGTTTGACAAACAAAGGTATTTTCCTATGCACACCTTTAACCAATGCTCATATAAGAGGTGATGCAGACTTAATTGAAGCAAGAGTGGAGTTTAAATGGCTCTCAAGACTCTTTTCCGAAGACTCTCCACAAGGAAAAAGAATTGGAGACAAGAAGCAAGAGGATCTGAACATCTTTCCTAGGACATTCGGCACCGCGGTCGCGTGTGCGCTATCCGCGGCCAAACCACCTTTCCCCGCGGTCGCGTGTGCGCTACCAGCGGCCAAACCACCT